ATAGAGTAGTGCCTAAAGATTACTTTGTGCGGCTATAAACGACCGTTAAATGGAATGATGAATTTTTGAAGGATTTTGAAAACGGAAAAAATGATAGTCATGCCGGCCCAGCATCATCAATGTTGAAAAATGCCCCGGCACGAAGTGGTTAACCTACAACCCTTGATGGCATTTTTGTCTTGCTTACAAATGACAAAATGAATGATACAGAGACATGCCAAAGGACAATCTTAATGCAGCAGGCAACCATGTGTTCAAACTATTCTGTATACCAGGTGAGCGAGACCAGCCGTCCCCCATCCACCAAGCTGTTGTCAGGAGATGATCGTCCCATCCAGTCAGCTCTTGGCTCCAAGGCTAAGACATTTGAGGAGCTGCTGGAGCAGCAGCTGAAAAGCGAAGCAGAGAAGGTACAGTAGCTTTTCCTATAAACCATCGTTAAAAAAATATAGAAGAAATGTCTCCAGTGGTGGTTGAAAGGTTCAGAGAACCAATATAGTTTTGACTGTGTAAGAATAACTCATTTCCAAGCAGGTTTATTGTGACCTCCTGTCAGATGATTTAAATCAAGGGTCCAATGTCTTCTTTTCATTAAAGCACGTAGAGTACAACAAACTGGTGTGTGAAACTAAGACACTGTTACTTTCATCATAAAGAAGGACTGTTGAGAAAGACATTTCCTTACCTTGTGACAAGATATTGAGATGTTTGTTCAAATAAAAACATTCAAGAGGAATTCTCATCTAGTTAAAAAAATTAATAGCTCCTTTCTATTGGCAGTATCAGTCTCCTGAGAACCCCCCTCAGGGCACTTCCAAAGACAGCCCCAGGCGTGCCTTCCTCCGCAAAGGGGCAGGCACAGCCCGCTTTGGGGTCATTTCCAAGAAACCACCCAAGCCGCCGTCACCCAGAATGACTCACACCAGCCTCACCAGTGAGGAGCCGAGGGCCGGACGGGGCAAAGTGGGGCCTGGAGGCTGTAAGAAGAACAACTCGGGCATTGGTCACAAGCTGACACCCTTGTCAATGAACAAGCTGTCGCTGGTCAAGAAGGAGGGGAAGGAGGCCACAAAAGAAGATGACAGAAAGAAGATAGAGAGGGGAAAGCGGGGCGAGAAAGAGGAGATACCACAGGTTATCAGTTCTTTATTATTCGTTTTCGGCAATGGAAACCCAGCATTCCTCAAAAGTTTCTTTGGCGCAGTGGCGCACAAGCCTGATGAAATCTGTTGAGGATTTCTTTTAATTGAAAAATAACGTATTCAGGTTTTAATGACAAATTCCATACAATATGTGTTCAAAAGCTGTACAGCTTGTATATAACAAAACCATTAGGGAACAAATAAGTGCATATCAAAGTAATGCCAATTTCAGTTATTAGTAATCAGTAATAATCAGTGATTAGTCTACTGATTAGCATATTAATCAACAGTCAGTGTCATTTACCAGCGCTAGCTATGAGGAATTACATGTACATTGGTATGTCTCTGTTTGACAGATGGCCCGTAAAGTGGCCACCAAACCAGCAGCAGCAGCCACCAAAACCAGCCAGAATGCACTGTCAAAACAGCCACTCCCCAGTAGCCAGCCACAGCAGTCAGGGGCCAGCATTGAGCAAGGTGTCCCTGGGCAGGGCAAAGCTGCCAGTCTCCCTGCCATAATGATGGACGCGGTACCCCTGCCTCATGAGGAAGACTCCCACGGCCACCAGTTGACTGCAGAGGGTGCCCATCCAGATGATACCATCGAGATGTCCTTTCAGATGAGGATGAAGGAGTGGGAGAGGAATGAGAAAGTAAGGCAGCCTTGCGAGACTTGTCACATTTCCTCCAGTTGAAGGGAATATCAAATTCATTAAACCAACAAAATCAAAAGATTACTGATGTGATCCACAATTGTGTGCAGGTACTTAATGTGCTCCTTAAACTGGCTTGTAGAGTTTTTGCACATAGCCATTTTTGAAAGCATCCAACATCCACAGCAGTGTCAGTGAAACCTTCTGGTCTGCTGAAACAAGTAATATTTTTGTCTGAAATTGAAATATTTCAGTTGTTTTATTTGAAAGTCAAGTAACTTGTCTGCATCTGTCTCAGGTAGAGCAGGAGGAGTTGGATGAGTTTGAATTGCTGGAGGAGGCAGCTGATGACAATGCATCCTTTGCCAGCGATGCATCCATAGTGGTCAACATGATACAGCGAGCCAATGAGCGTAAGGTGAGCAAAGCAAAAGATCCCCGAGTTACCTGTAAATAGACCAATTGCACCAGCTATTAAGTCAGGTGACCTGTAGTCGGAATCAAACATGGCATCCTTCCATAGCAAAGTCTGTCTTAGTGTTGTTTTCCAAAAATTATGGCAATTTTCGGTGTAGTGCTCAGCACACCAGTTGTGTCAGTACTTTACTGACCATTGGCTTTATTTTGAGTAAATTACACTTAATACATGTATAATACACTTTGCTAAGGGAGAACGCTATGTTTGATGATGACCATAGGTCGGTGACTTCGGGTGCAATCGGTCTTTTCATCAGTAACTCTGTGTCATTAGAGACCTTCCTGAATCTTCCAAATTCCTGCCACCTTAGTGAAAGCATTTACACTTCAAATGCCAAGGTATAAGCAGTTGGAGATCCTTCAAAATCTTTCACCACTTTCTAATGTATTTTTAAGGATCTTGGAGGGAATTTCAGAAGTAAAAGTTCAAACGAGTTTTCATAAAACTTCTAGGTGCATCTTGTTTTTCTTTTTCAGCAAGGTAACGGAATTTCATCAAACAGGTTACAGCCACCGTCAAAATCAGTGCTCATTCAAAGACAGAGGCCTCAAAGATCAGATGTAGCAATCAGAACAGAGTCAGCACTATTCAAGTCACATGATCAGTCACCTGACCCATCACATAAGGGCAAAGCACACAGTGGAGTGGAGAATGGTGGCGAAGACGAGAGTTTCTCTGTTGGGGATCAAACACTGACGGGAGATAATGAAAAGGAGCAAAGCCTGGAGTCATATGGTCAAGGTTTTTCTGGAAGGATAGACACAGAGTGGTGCGGAGCTGGAAGCCCAACAGAGGAAGACTCTGATATGGCGTCTCAGGAAAATGATGAAGTTGCTGCATTAGCATCTCAAGGAAGGAAAAGGTTAGTAGGCCAGGCAAGAGGGCCTGTAAGGGACTCAACGCAGAAAACAGATGAGAAATACACTAGCTCTCCTGATGCCAGAATCAACAGGAGTGACTCTGATGAAGATGGCGAGGATCCTGGGAAAGAGGGAGATGGGGAAGGCATTGAAGATGCTGCAGAAGATGATGCAGGGAAGTCCAGCCGGCCCATGAAGAGGATCGCTGTGACCTCCTCACATGCAGTGGATGTGAACTTTGATGATGATGAGAGCTGGGGGGACTTTGGGGAGGCAGAGTCGGAGAGTATTGATGACAATGAAGATGAAGATGAAGATGACAAGGACAATGAAGAAGACGATGATGATAATGAGGATGAAAGTGTCATCCTTGCAGGAGCACCCACTGCGACATCCACCCCACCGCCACCCATATTCAGCAAAGGTAAAACCGCAAATATTGATAAAATCTAGCCAGAAGACATTCAGAACGTACTATTCAGAATGTTCACTTTAACCCTGTCTGTCTTCCGTGCACCAAATGTTAATATTCTTTTCCACACATCTTTAATAAGGAGCAGAGTATAAATTTCCAGAATCATACAGTTCAAAACAGAGTTGCAATTCTGCATCTTGCTGTCGCAGACTTCATTTTCGTGATGGAAACTGAAAGCCCTCAATATCTCATTTTCAGCTGTGAAGGGAAACAAATGCCTTGCCCTACATTTGACATGTCAGGCATTAATTTTTCTTGAAAATTGGCATAAATCATTTCTTCATACACAAGAAGAATTCAGAAATGACCAAAACATCATTCACGTTGTGCAGAGAGGCTAGGAATGCTTTCATGTGAAATAGTATTATTTTTTCAGAAAAGTTTTGAAAATGCAGTCATTTGGGGCATACAGATACTCATGTATGTCCATCATTTTCTACACAGGACACAAGTCTGTTTTTGACAGAAGAGAAGAATCCACCAGAGCAACAATGCAACCAGAGGCCACGGCATCCCCTCCCACATCATCCCTGGTGTCCAAACTCTTCCCTAAGCTGAAACCCACGCAGAAGACCAGCAAGCCCAGCCAGGAAAAGGTACAGTATGATTGACTCTTTCAATCACTACAGGGTGAATCTTCTGTTCACTTCAAGGCTTTTCAGCTTTAAACACATCGGCTATAGCCACAGCATTTTAGACTGGTTGCAGTCCACTTCTGTTGCACCAGTCTCCATCATGGGACCCAGGAACCAGACCAGTTTTTAATGAATATATTTCTGACTTCATTTTCCGTATACAAAGTCCTCCAGGGTTAGAAATACATATACATTGTACACCAAAACAGAAAAGGAAGAATCTGTTAAACATTCTAGTAAAACTAGAAATGATTGAAAAATTCAGAAATAAAAAGGTAAAAAAATTGACAAAGAAAGATAGCGGGCTTGAATCCTGTAGCATGTGTATAATGAACAGTGCAAATGGAGGAGGCTCTGCACGACGTCACTGGATTTATGCATCCAAAGCCTTTAACTACATAGGTAGGGTTAGAGTTGTCTGTCCCCAAAAAAGACACAGACATTACCGATGTCAATGTTGTTTAGGCCTGTTGTCATTAGTTACCCTACTATTCGGACAGATGCATCCCCATAGTGCGCTTTGGGCACTGGCATGTTGGCCTGACTTTCAAAGACTTTTTTCTTTTGAATCTTTTGTTTTCATTTTTATTGCATAACTCTCCTTGGTTTTACATCGGTTTTTTGTAATGTGCCTTTGATAAAACTTTGGTGGAAAGGGCACTCTATAAATTCCAAATTGTTATTATTATTATTACTACTACATGTACATGTGGCAATGCTTAATGCATAGTTCCTTTATAGACTCGAGAAACTGTGATACTGCATATGGCTGCCTACACTGTAACCGGTTACTTAAATTTGGAACTTTGGATATTCAGTGTTTTGCACTGGTAGAAAGAATATTTGAATCTTTTGTACTTTTTGTGTTAATTTATCCCAGGCAAAAGCAGCACAGCCACCCACAAAACCTGCAGAGACATCGGTTGCAGAGGGACTTCAGTCCAAACTACTGAAAGAGAAACTTGTTGAGCTGGAGGCAGAAATTGCCAAGTTCAGACGAGAGAACACTGCCTTAGCAAAGCTGAGAGAGGAGAGGGAGAAGGTACATATTTGAGGGAAAAAATGGATAAACTGGAATAGTCTCGGTGATTCTCTAAAATCATCACCCACTCTCCACGGCATTACTTGTAAACTAAAATGTCTCTTTTTAATCGCATACTGAAGCGTAATAGGGATAATAACGGTCTTGATACTGCCCTACAGGTGTACACCTCTTTATGTGCTTTATCTTCATGTACATGTATGTCTCTCTTGTCTGTCCGTAGGCTGGGAAACAAAAGCTGTTGCTTCACCCTGGACCTAGATGCTGCCATTAGTATAATGTTCATTTTATATTAATTTTTAACATATCTATACATGTTTTGTCAATGTGATTGTATCATTATATATCACCCCAATGAACTATGGCAGCATCGTAATAAATGTACATGTATGTATGTTGTATGTCACCACCTCCATCTTGGTCTGGTTCCCAGAAGAGAGTTTAGTGATCTTGATGCCTTATCAAACATGATCCAGTACAGACTGCACAGCTCTTTTTTTTTTCAAGACTTTGAAGCCTGGAATCATTGAGTCAGATGATGTGACTGTCGTTGTCAAGAGTCACAAAATAGCTTTCAGCACCACTTACTTCTAACAGCAAAGTTGTGGCCAAAGCTACACAGACGTCTGAGAGATGGTGTAAAATTTAATTTGTACATACTGTGTGTACCTGTTTGTGTCTGACAGTGTTAAGTCTCCTTTTGTGTTTTACATGTAACTCTGCATATACACTGGGAGTCTTTTTTATAAAGCACTTCCATGTACATGTGGCTATCAACAAATTCAAGAAACGTTCTTGTTTGGAAGTATTTAGGCAATGCCATGGTAACAGATGACATTTTGACACATTTTTCCACACCATAACTGTGTTGTTTGGTGAACATATTTACGGGTTAAATGACCACAAATGTAATACATGTGCTTCTCTTTTTGTATTCAAGTTGTAGTTTCTAAACTGCATTTCCTTTGCCGTTTATGAATGTTAAGGAGATTGCAGTGCAACAGAACAGTGCTTTTCCATGGATTTATTTAGTCTCATTCCGTTACCAACCTCATGCCATTTACACACATACATGTACACAACATCACTTTTGACGTACATGCCAAAGTGCCTAAATGACATTCCTTTACCGTGGAATTACCCAAATGCAATTTTGGTAGTTGTACATGTGTGGTTCCCAGTTTTTGCATGCCATAGGTTTTGTGCAAGCTAAAGATCCCATGTTATTTTTGAATAGATGGAATGTTGCAGAATGAAGAATTGGTTTATGTACCATATATGTATGCCTGCGTTCACGCCATTATAAACGTTGTCAAAGTTTGTGTATCCAAGCAGTTGAAGTATAAATTATCGGATGTACATGTAATTGCAAACCTTAAGAGTGTGTTTTATTCTACATTATTCAGGGCCTTGCAGCCTTAGATAAAGAAGTGGTTGATTTCCAGAATTTGAAAGCAGAGGAACTGAGGAACCTACAAGATTACAAGGAGGAAGAGATGAAAAAGCTCAGGTGAGGCTCAAAGTAACTGTAAAGGTGGCCAGTAGGTTTCACTAAAACTGTTGCCATAACTTCTGTGTTAACTTTGATTTTTTAGGCTAAAAAATGCCCATTTCTGGCCGAACAGTTAACAGTATTGCCTCAATTGTTCATTTTTATTGCTGACAGGAATGAAAATTGTTAAAAAGTAAAAACACTTGGGTGTTTTAAAAAAATCTTGGTACAGCCTGTATGCTGATACCCATTATAAAGAGCAGGGCCGAGTTTCAAGGAGCTTCATAACCCCTTTGCGCCGGGAATTTCTTCCCAAAAGCTGACTCCAAGAATTCCAGCCTCGCTTGGCCACGAAGGTCACCTGCCAAACTGCAAATTCTCGGTTTGTGGCCCTGCGCGCTCTGCACACTTTGAATTACGCAGGTGAAAAGGCTGATTGTTCGGTGGCGTGCAGTTCTACTCACGCTTCCACATTCCCGTTGCCTCTTTTCAAAGTGGGGA